TAAAAGAGAGTGAATAAATGACGTAGTTAAAATAATAATAATAATAACAATAGTAGTAATAACAATAACAATGCGAGCTTTTTGATTGTTAATCGGGGCGAAAAGAATATTTTCCATAAGTAGACTGTTCATCATGTTTTTGTGTGTGGGCTGAGATACTGCTTGGGTGCCCAGACCGAAGTAGGTGCTTTTCTTAGAAGGCCACACCCGGAGCCTTTGACCCAAAGGTCTGACCCACAAGGCACCGGACATTCGCTTTTTGTCCTCTCATCTTCGTAAACAACACCCGTGTTGCGAGAAGGCAGTGAGTAGGGCTTCCCTGCCAGAGGGTGTATACACGTGGCCGTGTGAGAGCATTTCGAGAGGGAGGGCGAACCCACCCCACTCTCAGCCATATCAGGGCATTCGGGGGTAATCTTATCGTAGCTCTTACTTGGTATTGAGAAACAGGCAAAGTGCCGAAAACCGAAGTAGCAGATGTCTTCAACCCAAGCTAAAAGACCAAAATGCAGGTTAACCCAAATACCTCTACGGATTCACGTCCAGAAGAAAGAATCTTACCTACCAAGGGATCTGTAGTCACAAAGAGATGAATGGCAAACATCCACTGACTCAGCGACGTCAGAGATCTTTAATTTCAACTTTATAGACCAGGAGCTTGCAAGCTCAGAACATCTCTAAACTTTAGTGCCAGCTGAAGGTCAGTGCTCCCGGATTTGTATTAAAGAGACTAGGGGCCCCGAGACCAGGAAAGTCACCAGGATTTGACAAAATCCGACCTACAATCTCCAGACAATGAGTGGCAGCCACAAACACATCGGTGTGCGACCTGTTCAGGCACTCTCTAAAATCACATTGATCTTCAAGTGGGGGGATAGAAAGACACAGCCCTTAGTAAATCGGTCGCGTTACTCCAAATGCTGTCGAAGATAATGGAAGGACGAATCAGGATAAAAACAACATCCTCAAGGAAACCCCGACACGTATTGAGGAAAGATGGGTCTTGTGTGTTCCGTCTCCTCATAGCATGGGAATGCTAGACTACCTGCTGGTACCATAAGATACTGGTCCGTGTAATATTCCTTGATTTCGCAAAAGCCTTTAACACAATTCGCAATGTAATTTTCATAGTAAAGATCGCAAAGATGGGTTTCATTGACCCAGTTTTATTCCGGATCGTAAACTAGCTAGAGAACGGGTCGTTTCGTGTCAAGGTGAATTGAAGGTCTCAACATCAGGATATTCACAAAGAACAACCTTAAGCACACTGCTGTTCTTGATCATCATTAACGACTTGACAGATAACAATACCTCGGCGTCATTGATGTACGGAGTCAATATTAAGATCTGGAGGTCAACGCGAAACGAAGAGGATATACTGGAGCTTCAAAAAGACCTTGCAACAATAGAGCAATATTCAGTAGGTAATGGGTTAAATCTGAACTTGGTGAAATATCATGTCACAAACATTCCGCCTTGTTTGACAAAAAACTTGCACCATCAGTGAAATCCGCTGTCGATTGTCTCTTCAGAGAGTGATCTCGGGCCTACAACCACAGAGAGCCTAGACACGAATTGGAATTACACAAGAGATGAGGCCAAATCAAACTCAACACTCTATCTCATGCGAGAACAACCTGACGCAGTCATCACAGAGTTACTCCTAATTCTGTTCGAAACATACCAACGGCCCCATCTTCAAATTCATAACGTCGTTCAACCCCCTCTCTTAGACCGAGTACTGAGATGGGAAGCCAAGTGTATGGTGAGTTTAAAACCTAAAGCCTACTAGATCAAACTCCAGCACCTAAAGTTGTGCTCACTAAACTTCAAGGTGAAAGTTGGCCTGATAATGGCATACAACATACTAAGTACGCCAAGCTACCACAACCCAAGCATACTGCCAGAACATCATGACCATGTCCCACGAGGCAACCCTCGGAATATTGAGCAGTAAAGAGCGAATACCCAGGTGTGCCCTCACCTTTTGGGCACTGGAATGCAGTGTGAGATTCATCAGTGACTAAAATGTTGGGTCTGCACTGGAAAATAAGGTTCAAGGAAAGGCATAGGCTGATCGACTTACGATACTTTCAACTGAATACTGAAGCGGCTAATTTGCCTTGTTCGTTACAGTGTATGGTTTTTTTGGGACTACTGTCTCAGTTATTTTTATCGTTCCATAGCTCTTAGTAGTGATCCATGAACAAAGTTTTGGTTTTTACTTGTAACGGCTGGATTAAAAGTATATATGATTTGTCAAAAAATAGAATTCAACCTATTTTTCCTTAATTTTGTATCATTTAAATGATGCTTGTGTTAGGTAAAGAATTCTTTACCTAACACAAGCATCATTCTCAGCTACCGTTCATTTGTTTTGTCAGTTATGCTCAACTATTTTGTACATCAAAAGAAGTTGGTTTTTGATTTTCAGTGACAAAAATGGGTCAGTCGTTTTGTGTTAATGTGTGCATCCAGGTTACTGATTTTGCTTCTTGTGCGAATTTCGGGTAAAATTTCCAGTTCAGGGTAAATCTAGATTACTTTTTATTTTTCCAAAACCTACCCTAAATCTCCCAAAATTTATCAGACTTCTCCCGATGTTGGGAGCTCTGGTTTTACTGTAATCTGATATCTTTATTTATTTATTTATTTATTTATTTTAACACATAAGTATGGGTACAGGGAGGCACCAAATACATATGCGCCACACAAATCTCAGTTGATTTGTGTGAGGGCTGTGATACTGCCCGGGTGCCCAAACCGAAGCAGGTGGTTTTCTTAGGGGGCCACACCCCGAGCCTTCGACCTGAACGTCTGATCCACAAGGCAGTGGAGCATCGTGAGGAGATGCAGTCCCATGGTAGCCGGTGACCAACGATTGGTTCATACGCCATTTGTTCCTTCAGGATACTGGAGCCCATGTGCACCATTGGTTTTGGGTCCGGTTAAAGCGCCAGACATTCGCCTTTCGTCCTCTCATTTTTGTAAACAACACCCCCGCCACGAAAAGGCAGTGAGTAGGACTTCCCTGGCAGAGGCTATATACGCATGGCCATGTGAGAGTATTTCGAGAGGGAGAGCGGACTCTCCTCACTCTCGGCCGTACCAGGGCATTTGGGGGCAATCTGATATCTAGTTAGTTTAAACCGATTGAGTTCTTCGCTTTCGTATTTTATTAGTGAGATACGGTTCTTGGTGTTTAGTGACGCATAGTAAAGATGTTTCAGTCGCCCTGAATATTTAAATGAGCTCATTCTCCAGGTTGTGGGCTATGCTAGTTAAACTTGTCGATCACTACGTAGATAGTCTAAGTAGAATGGTTGAGGGCCTACTCGAGTTAGACGGAAATGTTGTGACGAACCAGCTGACTTCGAAGTCGCACCTCGCGGTCAGCATTAAACGTGGATTACCCCTTTGACGTATCAAAGTACTATGGCTGTTTTGAAGACCATATCACACAAAGGACGTTATTACGGAAATATATTAGTAAGAATGAGTAAAGAGAAGATAGTGAGACCATCACAGCATGGACCAGTCCATAGTATAGGATTAACCGATGCACATTCGTTGTCCTTGACTTTGACAGAGATCGACGATCTGTTCGTTATTCAGTGGTCCAACTGCCGGATGATTTGGCTTGCGCTCAGTGATATTCCACTGGCCCTACAAATTAATCTGGTTAGGATCTGAGAGGTTCGAGTCAACCGATAATTAGTTATTACTCAGCAATAATAACCTGGAGTGTACCAGAAAAATTTCGGATTTTAATTAAGGAAGTGTCGATCGGTAACGGCCACCATACTATGTTTTAAAACAAAGATGCTCACCTACACTTATTATGTCCATGTTCCGTGATTTGGAGATTACTTCTAGTTACTCTCAGTTTAATATTTTCTTATTAGTTTCTTCTTAAAGATCGTGTTAAACGGGCATTCTATTGAAGCACGCAGTTGTGGATTAAACTCGATGTTTAGTGGATAACAACGTTGGTGTTGGATAGTACCCTTAGTTAAAAATCATTTAATTAAGAGTACAATCCTAACAAAGTAGAGGACTAAGAAAGCGTTCTGAAAAATCTTTGCGAATATCTCTGTGTGTGTCTTCTACGTGTTGAATGTGAAATAGTGATGTAGGGTTAGTTTGAGGCCATGCTAAATTTGACATTGACGTATTGTGATCTTACTAATATGGCCTGTTAGAGGAGTGGCACCAGAGGATTTTGATACGGATTTTTTTTAGCCTATTCGAAGTTTGTCGTTTCATGCCTTCTATGGCGTAACCAAGATGTTTGGATGACCATTTAAGGCCATTTGGAGCACAAAGTAGTTCCCTCTAATCTATCCTGCGCTAATATATCACATAATCCTGATAAACTTCGTCTTCTCATTGCATTATCGAGATTTTTAAATATTAAGGTAAAAATTCAGATTGGTCGTTCTCATATATCATGAATATGTTACTTACATTTGAGATGGTGAATTTAATTATCATCAATTGAATATCGTGGGATCATCTTCTAATTTCATAATCCTGAAAGCTTCGATTGTTTTCCGACTATTTATTTTTTGTTTGAAGTTACCCTAGATGATTTGAATTGGTTTTTGTTGTAATTAAGATAGAACACTGGGCTTTTTACTTGTTATAATTAAAGGAGGACCAATATACACCACTATTAAATCAAAACTATCTGAAAAGTAGACTGAGTTCATGTTTGCCTTATTTATTTTGTCAATAGTGGTATGAATATGTTAGGCTATACAGTACTTGGCATAAATTGGTCAATTACTTGATGCATGTATGCAATTCACAACATCAATAGATTAGGCTGCTTTTAATATAGGGGTGAAGATATATAACACAGAAGAAACTCCATCAACAATAGACTGCTTTAAATAAAAATTATTGTCAAGTCACTGAGTTATAAATTTTCTATTTTCTAATAGTTACTTATGAATTACTATCATCCTTAATACTGTATATTTTCTAGAAAAGTTTCAATGCAAATTCACAAAGTAATTTGTTACAGTTATACACATATTCAACCGACTCTATTCTCCAGTTCATTTCGCAATTTGTCGACCTCATCACAATTATTCAGACACCAGCAGAAAAGATATCGTGAGGCTAAAGTAACTGTAAATGAAAAGTCTTTGAGTAGACGAGATGCTGCTCGTGAACTACTGATGAAAACAAACAGGACGAAATGGGAGCAGGAAACGGCTCGATTAAATGCTTTGAAAGGCCGAATTCCAACTTCCGATACTTACTTAATATCTGAATTTGAGCCGAAAAAATACAGTTTGTCAGAAGCTGTTGAGCTACTGCGTGAAAGCGCTCACCCGGATATGTATGATTGTATGGATAATCCAGTTCGAGTTAAGGTATAGTGTTTTTGCAACCTTTTTGTATTCTAAGTTATGTCAGAATTCTTTTAAGAGCTATAAATATTATTGTGCGTAGACTACTTATTGTGTTACAAAACTATTTAAAACTTGGGACTAGGTATATGTCAAGTTATCCTTATAGCTTGGGTTTCATGCAAACTAGATCTTTTAATGTGAAAAAAGCTGTTAGTTGAATTAGTATTTATAAGTAGGAAGTAACAATAATCATTGACCATGGTAACACAATAAATTAATGAGTTAATGCATGCTAAAGATGTTTATAATAATCATTGTTCTCTCCCCTTACTTATTCAAAGAATACTTAATCACGTGAAGTTAGTCAATTAGGTCTCCTTGACAAAGTTTTACTTGAAGAGAGTCGTTTTCTTCTGCATGTTATCTGTGTATACAAACGTAAACATTTCATAAATTTCCTGACCGTTTTTCTCTAGTTTCACTTATTTGTTGGGCATTTATTTATTCCACCAGTGTTCTCACAATAATAATCATTGGTATCAGAAGGAGCTTTGTGGAGATTGTAGTAATTTCAATAGTTGAAACCATGAGTCAATTGAAGCCAGACCACCATGGAAATCCTGGAAGCACTGGACGGCCGTTTCGTCCCATTGTGGGACTCCTCAGCAATGCGCACCCACGACCCCGCCTCTCAGGATTCGAACCCAGGACCTATCAAACTCGCGCCAGGCGCTTGACCAACTAGACCACTGAGCCGGCATCCAGTGGTGTTAATGTCTAACTTCAACTGATCCACGAAGTTGAGCGACACATCCACCATTGTCATCAGTGAGTTACTATCTCACAACTGACCCGGTTGAACTCCACTGGTCACTGTTTCTCACTAGAACTTCAGGATATACCTCTTGAAGCCAGTCACTAGTGAGCATTGACTCATGATCTCAACTATTGAAATAATCATTGGAATTAAAGGCAAATGTATTTTGGAATATCACCACTTTCTCAATAGAACTATGTTTTCCTGATCAAATTCACCTTCTATAATCAGTATCTTTTGTAAACTTTATAGGTTGTATGCCATCGAAATATCCCGAATTAGTATAAACTGTGTACCTAATTTAAAAACATGTGGACTTTTAATATAGTTGTATTTTTCCTCTCATTATTCATAGTAAGATGGTAGATAAGTGCTTAAGTCAAATCACCCTTCAACATCGGTTTTATTAGGTAGGTGTGAATCTACACTCCATATACATGTGTTTAGGTAACCAGTTCATCTTACTTTAGATGTGATCACATGTAAATATCGTAATTCAAAGTTGTTTACACGTAAGAAACCTCTACTTTTGATAACTGAGTTACATTACTTCCTTATTATACAGTAACGACCCAATAGGCTAACTCGTTTAAAATTATGAATTTTATGGTTGTATTGTTTTCTGTATTTCATGGGGTTTACACACGCAGGTTACTCTCAATATGTGTACAAAGAAAAAGACAAAGTTCATACCGAAATTTGAAAGTAACCTTGTTCTACCAAATATATTGGATTTTATGCCTACTTGTCGAGTACTGGCCATATGTCAAGTAAGTTAGAGAAACGCATATAAAAGTAACTTTAGTGTTGATATAAACTGGGGGGGGGTATGAACCAAGTTTGTTAGTTAGGTGTTAATTTAATTGGAGAGTGAATTAATTATGGTTACTTTGCTCTCAAATCGTTTATTTGTCGAATGGTCTACTCTTTTGGATGGTAACAGTCTTGTCTTTGATCTCGAATAAAGACCCTAAATGTCATTGTACCGCCGACCGTGGAGAGAGTCAGCTCTTCCCCTCAAAGTCCTCTCACATGGCCACGCGTATGCAACAACTGTCAGGGAAGTCTTACTCACTGCTGTCTCGTGGCATCACTGTTGTTTACGAAATTGAGAGGACAAGAAAACGAATATCCGGAGATTTAACGAGGTTGGTGGATATGGAGGATTCACCTAAGGGAGTTAGAAAACTCTGACTCCAAACCAATGGTGCACATGGTCTTCAGTGTCCTGAGGAAACAAATGGCGTATGAACCTATTGTTGGTCACTGGCTACCATGCGATTGCATCTCCTTACGTTACTCGACTGCCTTGTGGATTAGACCTTTAGATGAAAGGCTCAGGGTGTAACCCCCTAATTAAACCACCTGTTTCGGTTTGGGCTCCCGAGCAGTATTTCAACCCTCACACAAATCAAATGTCGAAGTGTAGCGCATTTATATTTGATTCCTCCTTGTACCGATGTTTATGTGTTTAAATAAATAAATAAATAAATAAAATAATTTGTACCATCACATGCACTGCATACACGCCTATTATTATGACTCTCGAATCTTATTTTCTATCTTCCAAATTATTTTTGGTATTACATAATTACTGTCACTTCTTTTATCGGATATTATGTTAGTAGGTCAGTTCCACGACTATCTTTCCAAATCCGTTTTAGTGGTTAACACCTTTCAGTATTTTTTGTTTGTTATTTACATCATCCCATTTCATTGTTTGATTACTTCACCAATCATATTGTCGTAATATCTGTAGTTCACATCATAAACTGACAGTCATGAGTGTCCTGTATCAGAAAAAAAAAAACCGTAGTTTAATGCTGTTTATCCGCTTCTTTTTCAATGATTACCCAAAAAATCTCAAATTGTTATGCAACATCATCTATAAATTGACATTGACGGTTTATTTCTCGACTAAATACATAATTTTTAATTGTACACAATTATTATTATTACTACTATTACTGTTACTACTATTATCAGAATTCAGATGATCATGAAGCATATTTAACTGCTGGCGCTTATGATGCTGGTGGATCAGCGCTTATCCAACGTATAAGTCAAGGTCACTACCATTGGGGTGAATACGATACTGTTGTCGCTCATCAAAGTTGGGAAAGTCAGGTGACAAAATTACGAAATATTTTAAAAGATAGATTACCGACAATAAAAAATGGTAACAGTTTTCATATTTCTTGTGACACAATTTCAAATATGATGTTGTTTTTAAACAGTTGTCACTGTTTATTGTGTTGTATTACCAAGCTTCTTGATGGATCTGTATAGCTTTAATTGAGGTTATGAACCGATTGATGTTAGACCACGATTGAAAACCTGGAAGCACTGGACGGCTGTTTCGTCCTACTGTGGGACTCCTCAGCATTGTGCATCCACGATCCCACTCACGGGATTCGAACCCAGGGCCTTCACTCTCGCACGCGAACACTTAACTTCTAGACCACTGAGCCGGCCGGCATTCAACGGTGCTAATGTCTAACCTCAACCAGTCCGCGAAATTGTGCGGTCATCTTTCATTGTATTGAGGTATATACCTAAATCTACTCGACACGGATCTGTGTAGGTTGAAAAAGTAATATATAGCAGTATTGTTTGAATAATATTTTTTAGAATAACAAGTGACACTTTAATTTCCTGCCGACCTTGAGAATCTCCAGTTACTTACAAATGTTAAATGACGGTTTTAAATTAGTGTGAGGAATTAAGATTAGGATTTGTAGTTGGACGTTAGGGTTAAGAATTAGAGTCAGGTTCTTTGTCACAAACTGATATCAGCAATAATTCCAAAATGTTACTTAGCCATATGGATGGGTGAATTTCCCGCCAAAATCAAGGACCTTCTATCTTCAATCTGATTTGTTCGTCCATAAATTATCATCTCACCAACCAAACAACTGAGTAACTTTTAAAATTCTAAATTCAAAACACAATAAGATACAATTACTCCTGGCAATATAAGCAAATATATTTTACAAACCTCAATTCATGAGGTCTATAAGATACTTATATGTGTCAAGATCCAATCGGAGAAGAGGTACTTCCTACAGTAATTACGTAACAATTATTTCCGAAAAAAAAATACGATAGATTAGATAATAGTCAGTAGCTTTGTCGATCCAACAATATCAACTAACAAATTGAAATGAGAACATATTTTCCTTTACTGTAAAGAATAATACGAATAATTAGGTTCAAGGCATTATTCCACTATGATTTTATCGCTTTTCACCGATGTTTCATAAATAAACACTGTTCCCTGATTGTCTGGTAGCTCACTTCAAGGTTTTCAGTGCAGAGTATACTTCTACCCAACAACAAAGAGATGCGTTTTGTTTTTAAAAATGAATAACAATTACCTGAGCTACTGAATATTAGTAAGTAGTATAGTTAATACACAAAAGAAATGGAGATGGGGAAAGGATTGAGGGTGATATATTTGCAAACAAAATGAAGAGCTATTACAATTATTGCGATCTATTATTAATTATATTTTACCGATTAAAAATGGGTAACTATTTGGGAGCAAACTTATCGATCGACTTTAATCGATTAATCTATGGGTTTAGTTAAACCACAGTTGTTTTCCTGAAAAGAACAAGAATGATAAGTTGACCAGGGTATGATTCTCCATTGACAGTTAAAAGAAAGCTAAACATAGGCGTCGTTAACAAGAGCATATCTTTCGGTCACACTAGTTGTAGTGTGAATAAAAATATGCTTCTTTGAGCATTCGAGTATCGATGAGCATCTTTCTTATTTTATTTCCAATTTTCAGCATGATGATGGTGTTGAGATGGTTGAAATTCATTGGAATCATGAATCGATCAATGTTAGACCACCACTGAGAACCTGAAAGCACAGGACGACTGTTTCGTCCTAGTATAGTGGTGGTCTAACATTGATCGGTTCATGATTCCATTGAAATTACTTCCAATTGTTTGTATAAGCTTACATGTATTTACCAAGGTAGGGCCGAAAGAAAAGCCTAGCGTAGTATTCTACGAAGTCTTTACTTAAGAAGAACGAATCCTTTAGCAATAGAATTTCTAAGCATCTCGGCAACATAAGATAGCTTAAAGTGATTTTGAAATGCGGTTGTCTTTTATTGCTTGTGTTGGATGTATGTGAGATATGAATTGGTGATGTACAGTATATGTTAGTATGTGCATGGGGCCAGGCCAACATAGTATTGGGTTCAGTAGGTAGCGCGTTCGGCCACCAGAGGTGAGGATGTTAGTAGCTGGCTGGTGGACTGAGCCCGCCCACGTCGACTGGAACCACATTGGCTCGGCTCCTCCTTCGTTGCTCTCTCATTCTTTATATCCTCCCTTGCACACATAATACACTCATTCACATTTTCCTCAACGTTATCACACTTGATCCAGTCATTATCTCAATTCACACATCACAATTATTTTCACTTCCATACGTCCTTTCATCCAGTCAGTCAATCAATCCGCGTCGATTCCACTTCAGTTTTACACTTTACCACATTGTATCACACACTCGTTCGTTCGTTCGTTCCACATAATCGCCGCACCCTACTTATCTCTTCACTCTACTATGATTACCTTTTCACTTATAGCATTCAGAAAGTATTGAATCGGTCGGTCAGCTGGAAGGTGTGCTATGCCTGTTTTATTATGGCCAACAAGTCTATTATACATATTACAAATCATTATCACCAGTAATATGTTGATTTTGCATGAATATTTTAGAAATGGAATGAATATCCCCTGAAAACGGTGTATCAGTTTATTGATTAGATTTGAACTGAAATACCAATAATTGCACTAGCTTGTCTTCTTAACTGTAGTACGTAAAACTTGCTTGTTGAATGAACATTAACTTTAGTGCTGAATGATGGTGGTAAATAAGTGAATATTTGGTGAAAATATTTCGACATAAATTTACCTTGTTGAGGTACCCTGCATCGCTGTATCTCAACCGTAGCTGCCACCTTGACGTACGAGGTAGTGGGGCTTACCTATCATGATGAGCCTATCAAGTTGTATTGGCTGGAATATTTGCGTGTTTGGGCCCAACCATACTTGACTGGTCGACTAAATAGCGACAAGGCTAAAAGCACCAAACATTAGGTCCAGAGACGAAGTTTTACTGCTGAGACTGTACAAGGATGTGACAGCAGTACTATGTTTCCCTCATATAATCAGCATCCATAACAACGCCACCTTGTCACAATGAAATGAATGGGTTAGAAGAGGTCAGCGTTGTCACATCTCACCTTGACTCACAGATATCCGTCGCCTGTTTTAAGGCTTTTCAAGTACGGAACTAACGCAAAAGTTCATATGTGACCTGCATTGTCTCTTCGGCTTGGTAGTCACTCTCTTAAATCATCAAGATCACAACTAATTCAGTTTTTTTTTTTCAAAGTAGCTCAACAGGATGTATTCCTCCGCGATTTGCGCGATCGGGCAGTAACATTCGCCCTCATACCCTTAACAGCACTCGAGATCACTGACTGATCACCACACCTGCCTCTTTGGCATAATAAATTCTAACATCGGTGATCCAGTGGTTAAGGTATCTAACTTTCAGCCACTACTCTTCAATTTCCAACCCCACTCCACTTTGATTTAGGCAGTTTCCATTTTCAATCAAGGAAAGTTTTTGCTTGTTGTCAAGTGTTCATTAAGTTGACTTTTTTACTAAAGAAAAATCTTTATTCATTTATATGTGTGTATATAGGTAGATTAGGTGAAGATGTGATGAAACTGATGTCAATCTATTTGAATACTACTCAACTGGAATCAACCTCTATTGATGGTGTTCCTGAAATCGGAATATTGGATATAATTTTGGGTCAGGTATTAACCTACTTCATTATATTAATATTATTAAACCATTTTTGTAAACTCACATAACAGTCCCCTATGATGTCATATCATGTGAGATCAACACTAACCAAAAATGTGCGCTATAGCATGGATTTTAATTTTGATGAAGTTATGAATCTTCATTAACAGATATAGCTAAAATATGTGTTGCATTCACCTAATGTCAGCCTATGTCTACATATAATGTTAACTGTACTGTAATGAATAGGCTGAAAAAAAAATCCAAGGGGCGACCAAACGAAGGTAATGTGATCAGTCTATGAATTTTATTGACTCTTGATATGAACCATGTTAGTTTTGGTCTATTGGAAAAATAGTTAGAAATCCTTAGGCGATGTGGTTCATTGTTGATTGTAGTGTGTTGTGTAACAGATAATTTGTCTCTTTTTGTCTATCCTTCCATAGTTTCAATATTATTTCACACTTTTTATTTCATGAGAATGTACCATAAAGTACCATTGAAATCCAGAGAGCACTATCCAGGTGTTTTGTCATAGTGCGAGGCTCCTAAACACTGGCTACTTACGACCCTACTTGGAATCAAAATGAAGATCTTTAAGTTTAGAGGATTTCTTGAGTATTTTTTTAACATTTATTAACAACTGTTTAAGGTTGGTTCGCGTAATTATTGAACAAATCTTGTATACATTCTTGTGGAGTTTACAAAGAGGTGTATGTATTTTTGTTGTTGTTGATTTACACATTATTATTATTATTTAAACACAAACATTGGCACAAGGGGGCACCAAATAGATATGCGCCACATAAATCATTCGATTTATATGAGGACCGAGATACTGCCCGGATGCCCAAACTGAAGCAGGTGGTTTTCTTGGGGGGCCACACCCCGAGCCTTCGACCTGAACGTCTGACCCACAAGGCAGTGGAGCATCGTAAGGAGATGCAGTCGCATGATAGCCGGTAACCAACAATAGGTTCATACGCCATTTGTTCCTTCAGGATACTGGAGCCCATGTGCACCATTGGTTTGGAATCAATGTTCTCCAACTCCCCTAGGTGGACTCTCCGTGTCCATTAACCGTCCTTTCGATTTCGTAAATAACAGTAATGTCAAAAGAAGGCAGTGAGTAGGACTTCCCTAGCAGAGGGTTTATACGCGTGGCCATGTGAGAGTATTTCGAGAAGGAGAACTGACTCTTCCTGTACCAGGGCATTTGGGGGCCATTTACACATTTTTAATACTGGATTTCATTGTTTTATACATTTCTTTCGTTTTTAATATCAACAATCTACTTTTTTTAAATCTTACATTAATTATTCTAGCTCTCATGGGATTTAAATCGATTAGAAGAGAATTTACGTACTTATTTGGAATGTATTGAATCACAAAAGTCACATAGAATTATAAGTAAGAGATGAATAGATTATATTTGCTTTATCTTACATTTTCTATTCGATGTAAAAAGATAAATTTAATTGTCTAAAGTCTTGCTTGATACTTTGGTGCTTCATACTAGTTGGGATTCGTCAGTCAGTCACAATGTAGAACTTCATACGTACGTACATCAGTTCGAGTTGTTATACTACATTAACACAGAGATACAAATGTCGATTCAAATCCCATAGTGGTAGAGGTAGTAAAAATATAAGCAGTAATCGGAATGATCAGGGTTTGAAGATGTTATTTAAGGAGTATAATCCGGTGAAACAAGTTTGGAAAGAGAAAAAAAAGTAAGGGACATAAAGAATTCAGAAGATTAGAATTTGGGAGAACACAACGAGTGGATGCACCTGCACCATTGCAAACGATTTTAAGCCATGTTATTCAGGATCTCTAACCATCGGTTGCTATTATCTCGCCGATTCTAACCAGGTTGTCTACACCTATCAACATGACTCAGTCCACTTGTCAATGATTTCATGGATTTGTGCCAAATATTGGGATTTGTCAACAAGAGATTTATCTGTATTGCGCATATTTCTCATATCCAAATGTCTAGCTTGATTAGTCATGTGATAGATTTCATAATATTATTACTTATTAAAGACAATGAACGATGGTAAATAATAAACATCTATTTTGACCTAGTTTAAGATTTCTCCAGCCAATGCAGTAAGTAATAAACCTTCATCGACTGAAGTATCCTCAATCACTGCCTACTTTGACATCTTATGTTCGCTGGTGTAAAAGGAGGTTAAAGGAAAGCTAAAGGAGAGTAAAGTAAAATATGACATAAAGTTCATGAAGTCATTGATAATTAAACAGAGTTGTATTGATAGTCTTAGACTGTCTGGTTGAATTTTGAGCTATTATTGTAACTAATGGTTAAAGACGTTGAATGAGATGTGATGCAGTAGCTTGAACCATTACACTTACGTTTCACTTTCTAGTTTACCTTGTGTTTGACTACTTCAAAACTTATTTTATAGCATGAAATTAATGTAATAAAATAAACTTTGCATTTTGTTTAAATTAAACTCACTTATTTCAATTAAAAGATTCAATACTGAGAGAGATGAACATATTTATTATCAATCCATATAATGATGTTAGCCATTTCACTTCCCAGATTCCTTAAATAAGTATTTAACAACAGTTTCACTTCAGTTTTTAACATCAGAACTGCATGAATACATTCCGAATAAAATCAAGCAAGTTATATGACATATCATGGCTACATGATATGGTGGATGAGATGCAAGTATGGATGAGCTATTTTGAGTCATCATTTACATATTGTTATCTAGACCTATATAGTCTCTTAGAAACATCTATGAACTGTCAGCCAATCAGTTATAATTACCATAATACCTGGCACAAATGTATTTTGAGCTCAGACGCTATACTACATGACAAAATGAATAACAAATTTATTGAAATAGTGATAATAAGAAAGGACTAGACAGAGAGAATATGGTTAGAGAAGATAGAATGAAAATCTAAATGTGAAGGAATATAAGGACTTAAGATCTAGAGTAAGATAAGGCGTGAATACATCTATATTGTTGTGACTAATTCTAAGCCATGATGCATAATTCTCAAATCTACCGGTCGCAATCGTTTCGCACACTTCGATCAAATAGTCTTTATCTACGGGATGGGATCACTAACCCCATGCCCAACCCTCCTCTTTTATCTAGGCTTGGGACCGGTAGTAGTCCCTCTTACATGAATTATGATTGCTATTATTCCGCTATTTTTTTTAGCGTTAAAGTCTCCAATGCATTGTTTGTAGTATTCCTTTGTAAAACTGTATGTGCATAGTGATCGATTCGAATCATAGACCCCCATGTACATAACACTATACACTTGTGTTTCTTTTTTTTTTTGTCCTTCTTTTTGCAAACAAAAAAAAAATCCTTCTACAGATGAGTTTATCCAATCAGGTGAAATTTATTGTCCACCAACTGTTGAACGTTTTATTTTAGATCTTTCTCAATATTATTCTCTTACTAACCAATTTAAAGGACATCAACTTGTAAATGAAGATGTTGATGAAGATGATAATCATGGTGATAATACAATTGATATAATGAGTACACAAATTGATAAACAACAAAATACAAAAGAACTTCATATATGAACTTCTTCTTATAAGGAATTAATTAGCACTTAATGTATGTATATATATATATATATATTATTGTTAAAATACACTATTTTCTAATTCTATTTTGTTTCTTTTTGGAAATTTTCTAGATATGGTTATTTTATTTTATTTACATATGGACTATACAAGTCAATTGATTTGTGTGTAAGCTGTGATACTGCCTGGAACACTCAAACTGAAGCAAGTGATTTTCTTAAAGGGTCATACCTAGAGCTTTCAATCTCAAGGTCTGATTCACAAAGCAGTGGAGTAACGTCAGGAAATTCATTTCTATGATAACACCTGTGACCAATACTTGATGCATACATCATGTGCAGCACTGGTTTGGAATGAGGGTTTTCCAACTCCCCTAGGTGGACTTTCCACCAGTTCGGTTAATTCGCCGGGCATTCGCTTTTCGTTTTCTCAATTTCGTAAACAATACCTCAGTGGTGAGAAGGCAGTGAGTAAGACTTCCCTAGCAGTAGCTAAATAATCGTAGCCATGTGCGAGCATTTCCAAAAGAAGAGTTGACTCTCCCCACCCTCGGTCGTACCAAGTTTTTACTGAAAGGGCAAATCACGCAAACTTTCATTACAGTTTCGGAAACTTATTTTTATTATTTCGATATGATTGATCTTTTAACTTGGCTTGAACCTGCTCAGGTTTTATAGAATTTATACAGATCATCTACAATCGCACAAATGCGTGAATATAATTATTTATTATTTTAACACATAGTTATTGGTACAAGGAGACACCAAATGCATATGCGCCACACGAATCTCAATTGATTTGTGTGAGGGCTGTGATACTGCTCGGGTGCCCAAACCGAACCACGTGTTTTTCTTAGGGGGCCACACCCCGAGCCTTTGATCTGAACGTCTGACCCACAAGGCAGTGGGGCATCGTGAGGAGATGCAGTCCCATGGTAGCCGGTGACCAACGATTGGTTCATACGCCATTTGTTCCTTCAGGATACTGGAGCCCATGTGCACCATTGGTTTGGGATCCGGTTAAAGCGCCGGACATTCGCTTTTCGTCCTCTCATTTTCGTAAACAACACCCGTGGTGCGAGAAGGCAGTGAGAAGGACTTCCCTGGCAGGGGCTATGTACGCGTGGCCATGTGAGAGCATTTCGAGAGGGAGAGCGAACTCTTTCCACTCTCAGCCGTACCAGGAAATAAAATATCAAAAGTGGAAATCACAGAATATACCAAAACAGAATTCAGTGTATAATAATGATTTATGTATTCGGTTGTTTCAATCATAATTGTTTATATGATTACTAGTAATATTATTCAATTGTTCAAAATAAGTGTATATTGATGTTCAGTAATTGAAAATCATATATTTTGCTTATCAGTCTTATCACCATTATTATACAGTAATTTGAGATCATACTAAACAGTCTTTTTACTTAGATCATACAACTAAAGATGGTTTCAAACTATCATTGATAATTCAAATCAAAACATTTTTATCTTAGTACCATTATCAAAAACCTCCGCTTGTATCTCTCCTAGAGTTACCGCCGATCCCAAGCCCGGGTAAAGGAGAAGGGTTGGGCATGGGGTTAGCGACCCCATCCCGTAGAAAACTAACTCACTAAAACAAACGCTAACCAGAAAAAATAATTCAAACCATCATTATCAAAAGAGGAACTATTGAGATGTGTTGTTAAGTACTGGGCAAACGATCTAAGTTAATCGGAAAATGAAACAAGCTAATTCATGTGTTACATACACTAAGCTACCGCTCAATAATACGATAAAATAGTATATTAGAAGTAAGAAGATTTTACGAAAGGATTTAGAAGTCTGGATTGATGTTTTAACTCCAGTTACTACCTATAAAACAGAACTGGATTATAAGCGGGGGGGGGGGAGAACACTAGTTTTGTAACTGGTTCCCACGTATACCTTAGTAACTTGTTGTTAAAGGTTATTATATCTGTCGTGTTTAGTGAAAACACAAAAGCTACTCTTATGGATTTATTTGACTTTGGAGATAAATCAAAACACTACGTGGATACATCAAAATGTATATGATTAATTAGTTTTGCGGTCAGATTAACATTTAGATTTGTTATGCCCCGATAAGAATAATGAATGGTAACTTTTAAGATCCATTTATTGACCAATACTATGCGTATAATTGTTAAGTAGCTAAACTATACATATTCATATTCCTCTTATCATAAGCTTCATTTTGACCTATAGATTATTATTCTACGATTTACCATTCCTAAATTATGCCCTATCTATTAATTACTACATCCCTCATTCACAGACATATTTGGCTAGACTTTGTACAATGTTATTTTCCATTTTATGGTACGATGTGGTCTGTCTGGTCGGTATATAAGCCCAGTATGCTTGAAACACATGATTAATATTGCGGAGGCCGAGATTTGTGTTCTGGAATTAACTGGCTGGGTTAGGCGGAAAGCAGGGCCGGGTTGGTGGACATGGAGAGTCCACCTAGGGGAGTTGGAAAAACCCTGATTCCAAAACAATGGTGCACATGGGCTCCAGTATCACGAGGAAACAAATGGAGTTGGTCAAAGGCTACCGTGGGACTGCATCTCCTGACGTTGCTCGACTGCCTTGTGGATCAGACCTTTAGGTCAAAGGCTCCGGTTGTCGCCTCCTAAGAAAACCACCTGCTTTGGTTTTGGAATCCAGGCAGTATCTCGGCCCTCGCACAAATTGAATGATATATGTGGCATTTATCTGTTTAGTGCCTTCTTATACCAATGTTTATGTGTTCAAATAAATAAAAACATTAATGATCGTTAGTATTTTGAGTGTTATATGTTCTATACTACTTAATGCTATCATGACTTGTCGTTCGATCGATAGGTCATAGAAATTTTCAATTTGAACAACAGAAGACCAGATAATTATTCTCGTGATTATATAATTAAAATACCAAACAACAACGTATTATATTCACTTGGTGTTGTTTTACTTGTATCTTTCCATTGTTATTTAGGACTGCAATTGATCAGTCTTATGTTGGCATATGTGTAGGCACATCCAGCTGACGAGCTCTAAATGGGACGAAACACGAGTCCTGGATCCCACTGCTAGCCACTATGCATCCTTCACAACATATTATATTTCACAAATCTTAGTAAACACATTTATAAGAGAGTGTTTTTTTTGCCAAGATTAGTTAGCATCCATCAGAATATGCGCTTCATCTTATTCGGGAGTCTTAAGCGGAATGTACTCGTATTCCCGTCTTTATGTCCACACGGGGATTTGGATCTAGTACCTTTTGTTTCAAGATTCATGCAGTTACAAATAAAGTACATATCCGTTGCACAAAACAGTGGTTATCTGAACTCAATAGATCAGTGAATGACGTGATAGGTGTTTGAAACGAAAGGTACTAGCTTCGAGTTCCGGAGTGAGCATCAAAGTTCAAATATAGATACATCTGATTGATGATTCTTAAATATGATAAAACACTTTTATTGGATTCCACTGTTAGCCACTAACTATTTTTGTTTAAATACTTGTGAATAGTTGATAGTATCGTGGCTATCTGCTCGAAATAAATATGTGCTGAAATAGACTGATTAAACGTAGCCCTTAATAACAACAGTGGGAACATTCACATGCTTAAAAAATAGGATAAGTTTCATTGGGAAATTGAACAACTCATCTATACTTAACTGACTGTCCCAAGTAAAAAAGTTTTCTGACGATTACTCTCTTATCAAATCTGCCGGCTTTTCGAAACAGATGTATTCCAGTTTTGTGTAGCTTTCAGTAAGTTTACTTATCATAGAGACTTCAGTGTTTATGTTAATTGATTACTGAGTGGTTTGGTCCTTGGTGCCGATTGAATCTTATCAATTAATTCGTAACTTAGCCACTAGCCTACCTGATTGAACGTCGTGAGTACCATATTTTGACGTTAAGTGGTTGTAGGAAGTTGTATTTTCTGCTAATTACTTCTAACCATACCATACAAAATATCCTGAAGTAAAAAGATTTGAATTTCCAGCTCAGCTTTTAAGTTAATCTTCTTGCATTCCAAACCGATGTCTTACAGTTTTGAACATTGATACGGATGTTATGTGATTGAAGGCAATCGACTGGAATTCTTGAACCTATCTTCCGTACTAGTTAGGATTCGACAACAAGATGTTTCTAAAGGTTTGAAGAAATCTATACTCCTTGTCGGATTCAAGCTTATGTCACGTAACACAACAGTCAGACATATTGCAACTCAGTTATTTGAGTCACGATAGACCTGTTGTAAGACTAAGGTGTTTACACCGATTGATCAACGTTTAGTATCCAACGGTATTCTTGTCTAGTTTTTAGCGCTTATCGAATTTTATCAATCAATATACAATTATTGAATACAGTCGATGGGACTTTGGTTTAGTCAGCTTTACTTTTCTTTATATTAGTTACTAATAATCCTATCAGATATTTTCTGAAGACTACTTCCATATTATGATAATCAGAAGTATTCAAATTAATCCACTAGCTAAGATTTTTCGATATAATGCAACTTATGACAGATGAAACTAGATGAGTACAAATGAACGGATTATATTTGGAATTCATAATCAGCGGGTAATCATGTACAAAGTAATTATTAGTTCGTACAAATATCACATGTATTCATTGAAAGTTGTTATAAATGATTCTCTACATGTTTTTCTGAAGCTAAATACTATGAGACTTTAATTTTGTGAACAGGAAAATCAGATTTAAGATATCAAATATTTGATTTGGGAGCAAATTTCACCTATCAATCAGTCAGCTACATCATAGGACCAGGCACACATATACATCGGTCCAAGTTGCCATACCTCATTAGCACAACAAGATCAACACCGGATTCATAGAAGTAGTTAATTCAATTGTGGTAATATACAAAAGAAAAATTGTATATAGGGATATAGTACAGGAAGAAAGAATTAGTTCGTAGAAAGAAAGATATGAATTGATTTTAATCTCTTAGTTTAAGGGAAGACTAAGTGTATACACCTACACCATTGTGATCGATTCTGAACCATGTCACCAAAAGTCTCCAACCATTGGTTACGATAGTCATGCGGACCCCAACCAAGTAGTCTGCATTTACCAACATGGCTCAGACTAGAAGTTAGTGACTTTGTGAACTGATGCCATGTTTTGTTTTGGCCGCACCTAACTTTCTTCCAACCATCCTCAACCCTAGTCAGCATTGCGCGTTGTGGCAATCAGTGTTCAGGCATATGTAACACGTGACCTATCCATAACATTTTGCAATGAAAACTCTAACTCAAATTCTTAACCCTAACCTCCAATTGTAAGTCCTAATCTTAATTATCAACACAACTTTATAACCCTCGATTAGTCATAGTAAGTAGCTGGATATCCTCAAGATTACTTAAACACTGCTCAAAGGTCGTCCATAAAATAATGTCCATACCATAGTAACTTGTCTTTCAGGGTAGTCACTGGTAGATAATAAGTTATTTGAAGTAAAACTTGTTATTTTTTAGAGGATCGAATCTCGTGGGGAGCGGGATCGTGGATGCGCACTGCTGAGGAGTCCCATACTAGGAAGAAACGACCGTCCAGTGCTTCCAAGTTCTCCATGATGGTCTAGCTTCAATTGACTGATGATTTCAACCAGTGAAATTTTTAAAATCTCCACACAACCCCTTCTGATAATATGAATAATAGTTAATGAATTACTCTTAAAGTTATTTTACAAAAAATACTCTTAAACTGTTATTAAATGTTTACCGCTTTTAAGTACAACAGTATGACATAGTTACATTATTGAAATATACTATCTTGAACAACTTTTATTATCACAACTCATCAATAACTGAATTTGATCTGTTCAGTTCATTTGTGATAGTTTCAATTTATCTCATTTGTTTACTGACAATATATACAGGATTTACAAGACGTTTCATACAATGAAAATTTCAATATCATTTTATCATTGCGTTGTTGCTCTAGGACAGGCCTGCATCAACATCTGAACTAAGGATAAGAAGTGAAGTAGTCGAACACGTCGATGATTTCACGTATGTTGGGAATTCGATCAGCCCAAATGAATTGGTGTCTAACGAAATTTCAGCACGGATTCGAAAAGCTCATTTGGCTTTTGCCAATTTACATCACCTATGGTGAAGATGAGATATCTGTCTATCAATCAAGGGATGAGTATATTTCGCAACAGTTCATTCTGTTCCAATTTACGACTGAGCAATATGGCCATTAAGAATAGAAGATACTCGTATTTGACCACAGATGTCTTAGAAATATTGCTCGCATCTGCTGGGATCACCATGTAAGTAATAGTGAGGTTAGATACAGGGAATGATAATAAGTTAGTTGATAAGGTTGTGAATCTCCATCGACTGAGATGGTTGGGTCATGTGTTACGTATGCTTGAACACCGATTACCATGATGCACAATGCTGACTACTGCTGAGGATGGTTGGAAGAAAGTTAGGGGCGACCAAACTAAAACATAGAACCAGTCCATAATGTCCCTAACTTCTAGTCTGAGCCATGTTGGTAAATGCAGACTACTTGGTGGGGGTCCACGTGACTATCGTAACCAATGGTTGAAGACCCTTGGTGACATGGTTCAGAATTGACCACAATGGCATAGGTGTATACATTCTGTGTCTTCTCTTAAACTATGAGATTAAAATCACTTCATATCTTTCGTTCGACGAACTAATTCTTTCTTCCTGTATTATTATATCCTTATATGTAATCTTTCTTTTATATATTACCACCATTGAAGTAACCACGTCTATGAATTTGGTGTTCATCTTATTGTGCTAATGAGTGAGGTATGGCAACTTGGACTTACATTGTATAACTGATTGATTCACTAACTTATTCTTGCCAGTTCTAATACCCATAAAGAATGAATAATTGATTTGTACTATTTAAATAACATATTCATATTTTAATAGATTTTTAATTACCTTCAAAACAAAACATTCTATTGGTTACAAATCATTGATCTTTCAAGGTCACAGCCATCCAAATGTTTGTTTATTAATCATTTATTGGTTACCTATTAATTGACCAATCACGTGTAAATTAAAAAAAAAAAAAAATAAAAAATTTGAATAAAATCAAATAGATTGATAAACTGGGCACAATTTCTAAGATTAGTTCCCTATGATGCATAAGCCATCAATGCGTCATAATAATTCGAGTTCTCGAAGAAAACATCCTAAACGATGTACTTTAATTATATATCATATTAGTTTAGGATTAATATTGATTGGAATAATTCTTACAATAATTGGATTAACAACAAAAAATTTATTTCATATTTATATTTATGATCATCGTAATCCAGCAAAATTTCATCATTTACATATACCAATTGGTTTATTTTCAATGAGTACATATATTACATGGTTATCTATGGAAAAATTAATTTTATCTGAAAATCTTGAACTAAATGGTAAGTTTCATTTATTTAATATTATTGTTTTTCTTAAATCTACCTATGGATCAGTCTCTTTCTTTTATTAACATATGTGCCTACTGTATGTATTGCCTTGATATTGTCTTAATTTACAAACATTCTAAGCAAAGATGAATAGTGGTTAGTAGTGGAAACTAGGACATGCGTTTCATTTTATTCAAGACTCGTCAGCTAGATGTACCTAGATGTATCTTAGACTTGTTAATGTTCACTTTGAGACTTGAACACAGTACTGTTCACTTCAAACACCCAGCTAACGAGTCCTAAATGGGACGAAACGCGCGTCATGAATTCCACTGCTAGCCACTATCCATCTTTGCTTAAAATGGTAAGTTTATTTTTATAAATAAAAAAAATAAAAGATAGTTTTGGTGAGATTATATCATTTATGGATGAACCAATCAGTTAATAGATCTTGGATTTTGGTGCGAAATTTTAGCTGATGTCAGTTCGTGATGAAACCCCGAAATCTAATTCCTAATTTTAATCATTAAGTGTAAATTATAATCTTTATTCTTCACACAGGTTTATAACCTTCATTTGGTCCTAGTTATTAAGTAGTCATTCTCAAAGTCAGTCTAGCGTCACTCAAAGGTCGTCCATAAATTATAGTCTCATCATATAACTTGATAATCCCTGTTGTAACTTTAAGCCTAGCTAATTGTCACGTGATTTATCCGTCAATCAAAATATGATTTATTCAATCTTAGTACTGTGCTAAATCAATGAGCAACCTAGCATCCTTTGATCTCCTAACCTTTCCAGTTGAGTTTAAAACACCGATGACAGCTTCTACTATGCGAATCATTTGTTTCAAACATACTTGGTTTATATACCAGCGGTAATCGGAAACATTAGAGTTTGAAGATCTTATTCAACGAGTATAATCCAGTGAAACAAATTTGGAAAGAGGAAAAATAAGAGACATGAAGAATTCAGAAGATTAGAATTTGGGAGAACACAACGAGTGGATGCACCTGCGCCATTACAAACGATTTTCAGTCATGTCATTCAAAATCTCTAATCATCGGTTGCTATCATCTCGCAGATCCCAACTAGGTAGTCTACATCGACCAACATGGCTCAGTTCACTTGTCAGTGAATTTATGGATTTGTGTCATATTTTGGTTTGGCCGCCCCTAGCTTTCTTCCAAACTACTCCTACACCATAAAGCATTGTACGTCGGGGCAGTCGGTTGTCGTGCATACGTAACACATGTCCCAGCCATCTCAACTGATGAAGTTTCACTACTTCATCAATTGATTTGCCATCCTTACCTAGTATCCGTTTCCTAACAACTGCGTTACTTATCCGATGGTATTCACCTTTTTAATTTCATCTCGTTGTATTAATGTGGTATAGTAACTCAGTCTAACGTATATTTCCGACAGGTTTTACGTTGATTATGATTGATTGTGGTTAACTAATTGGGTTGACTGAGAATTCATTCACTCAATCATTTTACTAGCAATAATTAGTTTAAATTCACTACCTTGCAATAAACTATTTGAGTGACTAGTTTGCAAAACAGTAACTATGACGTGAACTGAAGAATCGCTTTCAATTGTTCTGTATATTCCAAAGTATCTTGTATTGCTATCATACTTTTGAATTTAGTAGTGATTGAGTATATTCCTGAATAAGAAGTCATATAGGCTATGAATATTAATGACGAAAAGTCAAATTGAAAGCTCTTACTTACTTACGCCTAGTGCTCTCAACGGAGCATAGGCAGCCGACCAGCATTCTCCAACCCACTTTGTCCTGGGCCTTCCTTTCTAGTTCTATCCAATTGCTTTTTATTCATCTCACGTCTGTGTCCATTTCTCGGCGTAATGTGTTCTTTGATCTTCCTCTTCTCGTTTGACCTCCAGAATTCCACGTGAGGGGTCGCCTTGTGATGCGGTTGAGTGCTTTCCTCAATGTGTCCTATCCACTTCCAGCGCTTCCTGATTTCTTCTTCCGCTGGGATCTGGTTTGTTCTCTCCCACAGTAAGTTGTTGCTGATAGTGTCTGACCAACGGATCCGAAGTATTTTGTGTAGACAACTGTTAATAAACACCTGTATCTTCTGGATGATGGCTTTCGTAGTTTTCCAGGTTTCCGCCCCATACAGTAGAACTGTTTTGACATTTGTACTGAAAATTTTGACCTTTGTTTTGGTTGCCAATTGTTTTGAGTTCCAGATGTTCTTTAGTTGTAAATATGCTGCTCTTGCTTTGCCGAACCGCGCCTTCACATCTACATCAGATCCACCGTGTTCATCAATGATACATCCCAGATATGTAAAGGTTTTTGAACCTTCCAAAGCTTCTCCGTCAATTGTGATTGGATTCGTGCATGCTATGTTTTATCGGAGAATCTTGCTTTTACCTTTGTGTATATTGAGACCTACTGTTGCTGAGACTGCTGCTACAGTGATCGTCTTCTCCTTCATTTGTTGTTGCGTTTGCGATAGAAGAGCCAGATCATCTGCGAAGTCTAGATCATCCAACTGCATCCTAGATGTCCACTGTATTCCGTGCTTCCCTCCAGATGTTGACGTCTTCATGATCCAGTCGATCACCAGGAGAAAGAGAAATGGTGAGAGTAAGCATCCTTGCCTGACACCGGTCTTTACTTTGAACGACTTTGTCAACTGTCCTCCATGAACGATTTTGCAGTTTAATCCATCATAAGAATTCTGTATGATATTGACTATCTTCTGAGGCACGCCGTAGTGTCGAAGAATCTTCCATAGTGTTGTTCTGTCCACACTGTCAAATGCTTTTTCGTAGTCAATGAAGTTGATGTAGAGCGATGAATTCCATTCAATTGATTGTTCCACAATGATCCGTAGAGTTGCGATTTGGTCTGTACACGATCTATCATTACGGAATCCTGCCTGTTGGTCTCGAAGTTGGGCGTCTACTCAGTCCTTCATCCCGTTTAACAATACCCTGTTGAAGACTATTCCTGGTATTGAGAGAAGAGTGATTCCCCCGTAGTTATCACAGTTGCTGAGGTCGCCTTTCTTTGGTATTTTGACCAGAAGTCCTTCATTCCAGTCTTTTGGTACTTGTTCCTCATCCCAAATCTTGCTGAAGAGAATGTGGAGTATCTTTGCAGTTACTGCTACGTCTGCTTTCAGTGCCTCTGCTGGAATGTTATCTGATCCTGCTGCTTTGCCACTTTCGATTTGTCTGATAGCCATGCTGATCTCTTCAATTGTTGGTGCGCCAACATCGATTTTGAGGTCCGTGGGTGCTGCCTCAATGTTGGGTGGGTTCAGTGGGGTTGGTCGATTCAAGAATTCTTTGAAGTGTTCTATCCACCTGTTTCGTTGTTCTTCAATGTTGGTAATTACTTTATCTTCCTTGCTTTTCATCGGTCGTTCTGGTTTGCGAAAAATTTCCAGCGAGTTTTTTTGTTGTATCATACAATTGTCTCATGTTTCCTTCTCTTGCAGCCTTTTCCGCCGTCATTGCTAGATCTTCCACATATTTGCGTTTGTCGGTTCTGATGCTCCTCTCCACTTGCAAATTGAAAGGTCGCTTAAGAAAAATTGCTTAGGATGGCAACATACATAGTCAGTTTAATAAAAACGCAAACGGTGGTTTTAAAAATGTTGTTTTATAAAATTTAGAGTACATAAGTAGTATACATCTTAGAATCTGTTTTTTTTTTGGAACGATATTTGTCTTATCATTTACAATGTCTAAACTATTCATGAAAGTAATTGAAATCCAGATTCTTCAGCTGGATTATCATTTGTTATGTTGCTAGAATTGGATGGACAGACAGTTTCAAATTCAGCTGTTCACCTGTTATACAAAACAATAAATCAAAGACCGCATACATTCGATGTTTCCATTAACATAGAACGTCAACCGTCATCTTACCTTTGTATTAGCCTCAAACTTTTAATAACCCTTATTGAAACGTATATTCCATCTAAGGAAAGCTATTTTCTCTAATATCTTATTGTTGATAACTAGCTGTTAATATGTAATGAACATCCTAAGAATTTTTTTCCCATGTATAACATAAGTTAGCAACAAGTGGTTATTGAATCACATATGTATGATGTGCTCACCAGCTTTTAAATCATTTTAACTTTACGGGTACATATACAAAAGCATCTTCATTAATCGTAATTAATACTTAATATTGCGTAGTAAAATTCTTCAGAACTATTGAGACTGATTATGTGTGATATTATCTACATCTTAATTAAGATTTAGCTGTAAAAATCACTTCTGGTTAGCGTTTTTTAGTGAGTTAGTTTTCTATGGGATGAGGTCGCTAACCCTACGCCCAACCCTCCTCCTTTACCGGCAGTAGCTCCAGAGGGGTTCCAGGCGGAGTTCTGTAAAAAACTATCAAGCTTAAATTTACAGTAAGCTTCTTTAAGATGATCTTATCAACAAATTACCAATTTTGTAAGCTCCAAATGAAGAAGGAATCATCATTTTAAAATTACAATCAGTGAATACGATGGATAGTGACTAGCAATGGAATCCAGGGTGTGCATTTCGTCCTATTTGGAACCCGTCAATTGGATGTACCAATATCTCAAAGTTGGTGCTCACTCTGAGACACGAACCCATTACAGTACCGTTCGTTTCAAGCGCTCTCGTGTTATACACTTATCTACTGAGTCGTGATAGCCATCTACTTGTCCAATGGGGTGAAATTGAAATTTATTTGGTATTGCCTACTTGAATCTTCCCATTGATGTTTAGGACCGCAATTGAACAGTCTCTTATTGGAATATGTGTATCCTGTGTGTGTTGCCTCGATATTGCCTTAAGTTACAAGCATTCTAATCAAAGATGGATGGTGACGAAGTCATGGACATAATAACAGTTCAATACTTCCTAATTTTGAAGCCCACATAAATTTATTGTTTAAGCTATTTTTGAAATAATTTAAATATCATTTAATCACTTTTCGTGCAATGGAAAATTGTTAAATATTAACTTTAATCGATTGA